AAGACTGGCGAGCTCATGATGTCCTTCGCCAATTTAAAATCTTGCCGGCTAGCAACCTGTCGCTTTAAGCTCTCGACTACGTCCTTCATAACAGCTTCCTCCGCACCCTGTGCAAAAGCAGGGTCTTCCCCAAACTTTATATTTGCTGCCGCAGCCTTCATGTGTCCGCCTCCACCGAGGGGCTTAAAAATCTCGTCGAAGTTGACAAAGTTTACGCCGCTGCGGGCCCGCCCGATCAACACCAGACGTCGCGTTTGCTTTCGACCAGAACCCTGCACATAAAGGCCTCCCCAAACAAGCACGTCGCAGGACGTGAGCTCAAGCACATGCTGCGCCACACGGGCGAGCCCGCCCACGTACTCCTGGCAGTCCACAACCACGGTCCCGATGTTCACGCCCTCGTAGAGCGTCGTGTTCAGCCGCACGAACGACTCGGAGAGGAAGTGCTGCTGGTGTTGCGTCAATCGCTGGTGGCAGAACTCCGCTATGACTGGCTGTCTGGCCCCGTGCCGCATCACCCACGCCAGCGCCTCGACGTCCCTCACCGTCGTGCAGTCGTAGGTCATCGACCCGGTGTCCGCGTGGATGCCGATGGCCAGGAGGGTGGCTTCCGCGTCTGTGATATTTACGTCAGCCTCTCGGAGACGCTCAACGACCATGGTTGTCACGGACCCGACGTCCTCCAGGTTGAGGGCAGTAGCCTCGATGTCCGGGACCTTCATCGCATGGTGGTCGAACACATGCACCTCTCGCGCCGACGCCAACAGGCCCTGGCCCGCTCCCAGCCTATCTTTGGTGGACGCATCCACTACGCCGAGCTTGTGGACGTGGCTCGGGTCGATGGTGCCCAGGGCCCGGAGCGGGAAGAGCACGCTGTGCAAGGCCAGGAAGGCCTCCACGGACGGATGCGCCCCCTGCGGCATGCACACGTAGGCCTCGGTTTCTGGATTTTGGTGGCTCCAGTATTTTGCAAGTCCAACTGCCGCGGCAAGAGAGTCGAAGTCGGCGATGGCATGCGTCAAGACTACATTAATTGCCTGTGGTGTGGCGCTTTCTCCATCGGCGGCTGGCACGAGTGGTCCTGGTGAAAATTTTCTTATTCTTGCCACTTTATGCTGCTGGGCTGCTTCAGATATCTCCAAGCTGTCTGATGACTGCATCCACACAGGGAAGGCAGGTTGTTCTCCATATCTTCTTTGGCGTGTCCTGTGCGCACAGGGGCTTGGCAGGGAGGAGGTCGAGGCGTCTCGAGCAGAGGGGCGGGAAAACGCAAGGGAAGCTTGTAGGGCGCCACATGGCTGTAAAGCAAGGTGTGGGGATCCCTTCACAGTACACAAAATAGCCAAGAGTATCAAGGCCGACCGTGTGTGTTTTGGTAGGCGGTCGTTCATGAGTTGCTGAATGGAAGCGGGAACGCCGCCGGACACTCTCTTAGCCGCCTTCTGTCCGAGAATCCTTCCGCTGTTTGAAGAATATTGAGCCCCTGCAAATACATAGTGGGATCATACATGAGCTTATCGCCACACTTTCGTTGGCCTCACCGATCACTAATGCTTTCGGCAACAAGAGATCTTTGAGCAGTCGTCGAGGCTCTCAATTGCTTACAGAAGCGGTCGCTGTTGTATCGCCCTTAAAAAGAGGACATGGAAATGTTCCGTCATGTCTCATCTTGGAAGAACTCATCTTAGCGCCTTTGCGTCACCACGACACCGCCGTCCATCGCAATACAGTCCGCAAACGGTGAAAGTTGAGTTGGTCGCTGGACGGCCTAGACACGACCGCTCTACACGCAGGAGTGAGAGATGGTGAGACTGGGCGTCAGACTGGTTCCGCCCCCCGGGAAGCAGACCGCTAAACTCCTATTTGGATTTCTGGCAGCCGGAGGAGCCATCGCAGCTGTCGTTGTTATACTTCATCGTCAACGTGAGAAGAGGTTTTTGAGAGAAGGCCCTCGGCGCGCTCCAAAAAAGCCGCATAAGGTAGGTAGTTCCCCCTTCCTCAACATGAGTGAAGGTGTACACCATGGGTATCTCAATTCTGAATATGAGATGTACGCGAACGAGCATTATATTCTCCGCGTCGGCGCATTGCATTTATATACGGTGTATCGTTTGTATGAAGGCCCTTCCAAAGTCGAAGCCAAAGGTAACAGGACGAAGTCATGTCTCTTTTTTAGTTTGAGGTGCAGAAACCACTCGAAGTCACCGCACCCGAACGGCAACCCCATAGGTGCTCTTTGGCAAAGTGGAAGGGGAGAATCGAGGCCCTCGGATGGAGGCACTCATGGATCCACGTGAGTAGGCTTTTCAGACCCGTGTAACCGGTTACTCGGAGATGTCCGAGTGGGCTCCCCTTTCGGAAGTGTTCTTACTAATAACTCTCACGCGTCGATTTTCCTTTCTTTATGCTGCTTCTGTGGACATGCCGCTACATTGAAAGCTATTGAGCTAGAGGATCCACTCTTCTGGCTCCGCGACGACAGTCGCAACAACCCGGAGGTGCTGAACCTGATCAAGGAAGAAAATAGGTTTACGGAGGCTAGGACGCGGCATAGCAAGCCGTTTCAGCAGAAGATATATGCGGATCTTTTGCGGCATATGAAGCAGACGGATGTTCAGGTGCCCTATTTATGGGGAGAACATTACTACTATTCCCGCACCGTGGAGGGCAAGAGCTACGGGTACGTATGTCGGCGCTGCGGCTCCATGGATGCGCCTGAAGAAATAGTGTTGGACTTGAACGCTCTGGCAAAGGGACAGAAGTACCTGGACGTTGGAGAGTGGTCGCCCGCTCCCCCTGCGCACGCGTTGCTCGCCTACTCTGTGGACACGACTGGCTACGAGGTGAGAAGGGAGGTTTGCTCGATGCGGAATAAAGAGTGAGAGCCAGGAGTGAAGGTTAGGCCATAGTACCGACAAAGGAAAGGATTATTGGGGGGGTACCCATAAGTGTGAAGCCTCGAGTCGTATCCTCGCTTTCAATAACACTTTTCAGCTTCTTCAATGGTATATACCCACTTACGTTCGTGTGTGACTCTTCTTTTCTGCAATTACATGCTCTTTGACCACACGAAGACGTATGAAATCCGCTTCAAATCTTTGTCGGAGGGCATTAGGAAAGGACGGGAGATGAGGAAGCTCACTGCCAATGTCGCGTGCAATGACCTGATACCGGGAACAAGCGGGAGCTTTGTGTGGGGCAACGATAGCTCCACTATATATTATGAAAAACTCGATGCCAGCCATCGCCCTTATCAGCTTTGGCGGCACGCCATGGGCACCCCAACCTCGGAGGATGTGTTGCTCTTTACTGAGGACGACGAGAGGCTGTGGATGGGTCTCGACAAGACGGACTCTGGTCGCTTCTTGGTCTTGTCGCTCTCCGGGAAGCAGCAGAACGAGACCTGGGTGCTAGATCTCGAGAACGCCGAGGGGCCGATCGAGCATTCTGCCCGGCAGTTGAGACTTGTTGAAAAGCGCGCAGAGAACATTCGGTACTCTGTCGAGCATCACGGGGAACACTTGTACATTATCACCAACAACTTCAAGGGGAGGGAGTGCCTGAACTCGATGCTAGTGCGAGCACCTGTAATTACCCCGAGCTCCGCGCATTGGGAGGAGGTCTTCGCCTATGATCCAGCCGAACAGCTCAAACACCTGACCTGCTTTCGAGACGCGATCGTGATTCATGGTCGAGCTCAAGGGTACGCGCAATTCTGGATCTACCATCCCCCGATCACGCCCTGTCGCAGCCGCAGCGGCAAGAATTTGGACGAGGGAACAGCGACACTGAAGAAAGAGACCCATCGCAAAGTCCCGGTAACGCATCCCGAGAGTGTGTATTGCGTGCATTCGGGTCAAAACCGAACCTACGACTCTAGTTGCTTCCGTTATGAGTATTCCAGCCTCGTGACTCCTCGTCAGACCATCGACTATAACTTGCTCACTGGTGCCAAGACCATCTTGAAGCAAGTTGAGGTTCCATACTATGACGCCTCCCGTTTTGGCTGTGAACGCCTTGAGGCGCCCTCAGCTGCTCCCGATCGCCGCGGAATTCCGCTCTCAATTGTTTACAAGAAGAGTGTCCTGCCCGAAGGAGTCTCCAAGCCTGCGGCGCCTCTGCCGGTGTTCCTGACCGCATACGGATCTTACGGTGCGTGCAACGATCCCTCTTTTGACAGCAATCGACTGGCCTTGCTCGAGCGAGGCGTCGTCTACGTGATTGCGCACATACGGGGTGGAGGGGAGATGGGCCGGCCCTGGTATGAGAAAGAGGGAAAATTCTTGGCCAAAAAGAACACTTTTCTCGACTTCGTGGGTTCGGCGGAACACCTTGTCTCGCAGGGTCTGACGGCTCCTGACCGTTTGGCCATCTCTGGTGGCTCAGCTGGTGGACTGCTCATCACGGCGTGCCTCAATATGCGGGGTGCTCAGCTTTTCAAGGCAGCTATATGCGACGTTCCATTTTGCGATGTGCTCTGCACGATGTCTGATGCAACCATTCCGCTCACAGTTGTGGAATGGGAGGAATGGGGTAACCCAAACGAGTCAGCATTTCACGACTACATTCATAGTTATTGCCCTATTACCAACATTCGGCCTCAGCAGTACCCGGCCATCCTCGTCTTGGGGGGCTTGCACGACCCTCGCGTTGCTTATTGGGAGCCTCTGAAGTATGTGAAAAAACTCAGGGAGAATCTTACTGCGGACAGCGGACAGCTTTTGCTGAAAATCGACATGTCCTCGGGGCACTTTAGTGCAAGTGATCGATACAAATATTTACGGGAGAAAGCGTTTAATTACGCCTTTGTTTTGGAACAACTTCTCATTTTCGAATAAGTTCTTCGTACGGCGTCAATTAGAACATGGACAAAAAGGCGGAAAAATGATTAATTGACAAATAGGCACAGGAAATGTGATAGACAGAGTACACTTAAAAGCAAAGAAATCGTCGCTGACTTGAGTCATCTGCGTGTGTGCGGCAGAAATGCACGCGGTGAATCTTGTAGATGAGAGACAATTTACGTTTTTTTTCTTAATGAGCCGACGCTAGATGAACAGACTTTAAAAGAAGGGTATGGCACCTTTTCCCAGATTTGTCGAACAAAATCCAGTTTAGCGTATCAAGTAATGAAGTAACCCTTGCACATACATTAATTTGATTACCTTCTCAACATCCACCTCGCACTCGAAGGCCTCCCATCCCCATGATGAAGATAATTAACTTTGCAAGTATTTTTTCACACGTAGTACAAAAGTCATTGTCGATCGCTTTTCCACAGATGCAGCACTATATACATGACCAGGTCACTCCCACTCTGACCTTAGACCAATGGCTCCTTGCACTCACCAAGCCGGCTCAAAGTCACAAACACAGAGCAGCCATCTCCTGGCCGATTTTTTAATTCCAACTCCCCCCCAAAATACAAAGCATATGACTTGGCAATGCCCAAACCATACCCCAGACCTGCGAGAGGCACTTTCTTTGAGTTCCCTCTGTTATGCTTACTCCTTTCCCCCCCAAGCCCCGAGGCGTGACGGTCCATAACGAGTTGCTGCACATCCGCATCAGCCGCAGTGGAAAAAAGGTAACAGAAAACCTTACCTAGATCCTCAGGCGGAATCCCCCCCCCTTCGTCCCGCACCTCGATCACCACCTGTTGCCCTTCTGTCAAACTGTACTCTCGGCTGAGAATGACTTTGATCGAGGGCACACACCCTTCGTCCCCGCCCGCGCCATGTGCCATTGATCCGTCACGAAACAAAGCCTCATTGTAGCGCTCTGCTACTGCCCGCAATGAATTTTTGATGAGTTCCATCGACAGATAGTATAAGCTTTCCGGAATGCAGGCCATCACCATACCCTCCCCCCCAATCACCTCCACTCGCGGGGCGCAACCGTCGAAGCGTTGCTTGCAAATCCAGCGTGCGTCCGCAGCCGCCGTCTCGATCACATCTTGAAGTTTTGTGCGCGTGCAGATTATCCCCACGTAATTGGGGCGAGGGGGCTGGTGCAGAGCCAGGTAATGACCCACGAGGATGCGGAGGGCTATGCGCTTCAGATGGAGTTCGTCGAGTTGCGCATGGAGAGCTTCCCGACCGCCCCTCCCGTCCAATGCGTCCATACCTAGCTTGGCTCGCAGTTCAAAGACCCCTCGCGCAACCAGCAAGAGTTCGTCCGCGTGCCTGTCCCGGACACGCGTCAGCACCTTCACGAAGCTCTCCTCGCAGCCGTCGGTGACGGGGCACGGGCTTGACACCACGTCTCGAAAGGATTCCCTGTACCACTCTCGAACCACACGTAAACTGGGCGCCTGTCGACTTGAATCTAATTTGTCGATGAAAGTGATGCCGCGTGCGAAGCGAATCGGGAGCTCTCGGTGCAAGAAGGTCGCCATGCGCAGAAGCCCCTTCTGGGCCGGGGAGTGGGGGTCAGACACCCTGCAAAGACGCACGTTCAAGGAACAGAGGGGATTTTCAAGGGACATGGCATCTCTCAGACTCGACAGCCAAGGTCGTGTTCCTAAGCCCACTTCCGCTAGACTGCGCAGAGACACCCGTTCCGACCGTTTCTTCGCATATGAAAGTATAGTCGCTTCTTCGTCTCGGAGGATATCCGATTTGGAATCGCTTACGTTGTGAGCTGAATTTGACCAAGGCACGGATGCACCTGCTATTTTCGTAGGCGTATGTAATTTATCTGCTTTAAGAGTCTGCTGTTGCAAAAAAGATGGCGTGGAGCGTCCTGCAGCGCCTCCCTGTCCGTGTTGCTGGTGCTGCTGGAGATGCGACTGATGGGGAAAAAGGGTAGAGGAAGTGGCGATCTGTGCAAATCTACGCTTTGACGCATACTGATATAAATTTGTTTTCAAAAACTGTACATGACGTGCTATCATGGCTAGTTGCCGTAGAAATCTCTGCTCCCCTACACACAGCTCGCCTTCTCCCGGAAACACCTGGCTTCCTGGCTTTCTGGGAATATCCCTGTAGAGATCGATGCCCCAGCGTACCTACAACTCCCTCCTCCTTCTCCTGAGTGGTGCGAAAAAGTTTACATCAGATAATATGCCGACAGCAATGCACAACTCTTTCGAGCTTGAAGTGTCAGGCACGCTTCTCTACCCTTGCTCGCCCGAAGTCCTCTGGCATCATACTATACTACAGTAGGTAGTACCTCTCTCAAATGACCTGGGCGCAGTGCTAGCGTTAGCGCATGGCAGACAGGAGCTTGGTAGCCACGACGGCCGCCCAGTCATCTTCCTTGTGTTGTAGATAGCATGAGACACTGATAATGATTGAGTGAGCTACGACAAGTGTATCTGATATCGTAGCGGATGTATATTTTTTGTCGAGGCTCAACATGTCGAACCCGGGTAGTTGGTGCCCCGGATGGGCCTCGGAGCGGTCGGACGCGCTACTCTAGTCGTTCTCTGGTGAGGAAAACAATTATACGAAAGAAAACATCCAAAAGGGATGAGAAAATAATGCTCGAGGGTTTTTTTAAGTCTCGTATGGATTTTCAATGACAAGCTGGCAACAATTCGCGGAACATTCTGAGGTGTTCAAGGCTTGTGCTCACGCCTGCTAGGACCTACACGATATCTCTTTCTCACATTTGCACGATTTCGGACGATTCAAACGCTTAAGTTGGCTGTTCTCTTGTCCGGAAGAAAATCTTTGAAATGGAAGGAAAGAAGGACATGAGCGTAGGCCTCCAATCACGAACCCTTGACGAGGGAGTAACTCTCGTATTGAAGTACTAGATTCACAGCATAGGTGCTGGAAGATTAAAACATGTAAACTTTTGCTTATAAGATAGCAACAGCTATTTTTTATGACACAGTTGTGGTGGTACGGTCCGCTCAACAAGCTATAAAAGTCTCCAGGAGGAAGTGGTCTGTCAAGACTCAAGGGGACGAGAAACACCCGCCATCCAAGGCACGTACTAGTAGAAGGAGGAGTGTGGCAGTCGACCGGCGTCATTTTTTGCCCCTATCGATCTTTTTTTTAACAAGCACTGAGGTTCGTTTGGCCGCAAATCTCACCATCACAGAGAGGGCTCTCTGGATACTGTACCTGCACATGCTCCGCCTGGCCTTGCGACCCGGCGACGCGGACACATTTATGAATAGGATCGTCGGATGTGGCCTAATGATGCTCACGATTGTCCAGGGGTACAACCTAGGTGGCAAGAGCACTATCAATAGGCTAGGATCCCGTCAGATGCAACGGCAGAATATTTTCACATCATATTCGGCGTCATCGAATAACTTTTACAGCAGCTCTTTTCAACGTAAGTCTTCATGACCTATTCCTACCGTGTTGCCTTCCCACTCAAAAGGGTGACCGTTTTGATACTCATGGACCAAAAAATGTCTTCATGTGATTAAAGGAATATGGGCAGTACTTGTGTAAGCAATATTTGTTTGTCATCGAAGAGTCATACGATATATCGGCTTAAGCCATACGTCTAGATGCCATGTCGTTGATAATGGCACGGCTCAGAATTACGAGAGTGAACAAATTGTTAGGTGAGCCCAGCCTGTTTGGAAGGAATCACAACCAAGCACTTCAAATCCTCCGCGCAAATGACAGCCTTGGGGGCCCCGCCAAGAACAATTGAGCAGGAGGAAGGTTTCTCGCTCGGCTTGCAGGCGGAGAAATCGGGGGGGCAGTTTGAGGTTGGTATCTGTATAATTCCTTCCGATTGGACATATCATTTTGAACCGTGCATAAATGACAACGACGAGCAATGATTGAGCCCAAGCCTTTCCATTCTCTCACACCTGTGTCATACGAAGGAGTACGTTGTCAACGTGAGCAAGCCTTTGGGTGTGGCAGTCGAGGAGGCGGGAGACGGCTCTGGTATGGTGTACGTGGTAGAGGCGAACGAGAAGGCCCAGGCAGCTGGAGTCGAAGTCGGCGACGTTATAGTGGGATGCTCCTTCATATTTGATGACTCTTACCTGGTGAACGTGACGGGCAAGGGCGTGGAGCGGGTTGAGTCACTCATTCGCTCCCGGGGGCCTGACTACGTTTGCCTGCGTCTGCGCAAAGGGTGTGACTACCATCTCCTCGAGAGGGGGGACCTTGACGCGCGGCGAGAAACATATGATGATGAGGCGACCCTTGAGCCTGAGGAGCAGGAGGCGCGGTGGATCCGCCGAGCAGAAAGCATTTTCATAGACGAGTGGGGCTGGCAGACCCCGGAGGGAGAGGGGGACGAAGAGCAAGAGAACTGGTAACGTGGCATAATGAAGAGTAGCACGAAATGTAAACGACGGTAAAACACTATCTCTCGTGCATTTACGAATTCTTCAGAGACAAATGACGAGACATGAAGAAGACTTTTTCTTTGATTCTTTCGATCCAAAAGACGTACATCTAGCTTGCATCTCACGAATCAGCGTCGTCAAGTTTTTGGTGCCATCATCATTTTTACAAGTTCAATTGGAAGCCGTACCCAAACTTGTATTCGTCTTTCACGCCATCCACTTCGCCGGAGAGCAGGAGGGTGACCGCATTGGGCACGACGCGCGCCTCGAGGAGGGCGGCGATCTTGCCACCGTTGTCAACGGTGGTCAGGAAGCGCGACTGTTTCATGTTGACTTCCGCACCGAGCACGGTCTGGCTGTCAAGCGTGAGAGGATTCAGCACAAGATCAGCCACTAAGGCCATGCGGCCGGGGCTCACGTGCTTGATGTACTGGAGGAGACAGATCTGACCGTACTGGGCCAGCATCGCAACGCCCACCCAGTCGGGGCCCGTGTACTTGCCGCCGAGGCTGAAGACCCCTCCACCCTCTGCGAAATCGAACAAAGTGTCCCCGCCCAACGCGAGGCCCGGCGTGATGCTCTGGAGGTAGGATGCGTACAGCTGTGGCCCCTTGGACAGGCGAAAGGTCAAGGAGTGATCCCTGCCGTGGCGCTCCGCGTCAACCTGATAGGTGTCTTTAGCGGCATTGGGCTGCAGGCTCGCTATCACTTTAACCAGAGTGTTTTCGCCCAGACCAAAGTGGATTCTGTGATATTGTGATGAACGATCCGTGCAGGAAAGTGTAAATTAAAAAAGAAGCATCTGAGGAAGTGCCTGGTGAGAGCCCCAGGTTCCCCGCCCAATCCTCCCAATGTCAGCCACTGCCTACCAAAAATACCAAACATTCGACCTTTGCACGCACCTGCCGTCCATTGATCCCGCGTGGCCCATCCGTGCCATGATGAGCTGATTACCTGGCAATACGACATGCGTCGAGAAATCGTAAAGCGCGTTGGTATCCACTTGCGGAAGCTTTACGCCCAACATGAATGAATGTGCTAAGTAAAAATGTGGCGTAACCATCTTTTGCACTTCCAGACGAAATCCCTCGAAGCTGTCTACCGAAGATAATCTCTTGCCATCCTCTATCAGTTTTTCAAAAGACCCCGGATTTTTGAGCTGCGCCACCTTCCGTCTTTCCTCCTCTGCCTGCTTCACCAAAGCTGGTACTTCAATAGACGTGTCTTCGTTGTTTACAACGGCGGCATCGCATAACGTTGTGGAATAGTTCTGCAGCCCTTGATTGTAGTACTCTGCCGTCACCGCCAGACCCACTATCATGGTCGGTGGCAGGGCCCGGGCACCGAAAGACGCCGCACACCGTTTCCCAGCACGAAAAAAGGACATCCCTGTATTACTATGTGCGCTGCGATTATGCTAAAGCCAGGAAGAGGAGATAGCGAAAAAAATATTGAGTACTGAAGAAATAGAAAGATGTCGATGAACGTGGATAATCGTAGGCAACAGTTTGTCGACGACTCGACCAGTATGATCTCAGCATGGTGCGCGAAGGCCTGAGAGGCGAAGCGGTGCACACGAGTGAGGAGCAAGACGGTTCATTGCTGTTATTAATGGCATTCCGTTGCATTTTAATGTCCAAAACGAGGGGGGGGGCGAGCGCGTTCCATGTCGGTGGCGAAGAAGACGAGGATACTCGCGGTAGCTGCCAGCCCACAACAGAGGCGAAGGGGGGAAAAGAAACAGATTACCAAAAGGTTTTGCCCTCTTGCTCGCAGAAATGCACTCAAAAATTATTTTTTTGGGATGGTGTCACCTTCCTCCACAACATGTTTTCACGCCTCATGACCTGAGGTGGAATCCTGCAAGGCCTGCCACTGCGCCCGTGCCAGGTTACACACAGCAGGACCACCGCATAAATACACCCATGGAATCCAGGATGGCACACTATAGAAGTCAGGAGATGAATAAATATATAACTCCGTATATGTTGTGAGCAGCAACTCGAGGATGGGGCCGAATATACTAGTTAATACACCCACTGTCAGGCCGGCCCATGTCCGATCAAAACGCAAATAGCACACAACAGCGAGCCCCAGGAGAGAAACATTGAGGATCACAGGATTCACCAAAAAGACACCTGCCAGGACCCCGGAAATGTAGTACTGGAAACTAAAAAGTGAGATGCCTTTCAGCACGTCTGGAGGTGCGGGCTGCAACTTCTTGCAAGGTGTCTGAAAGGCTTCGTCCATTACGACGGTCAGAAAGCTCATGATCACGCCTGCCAGGCCGAACAAGAGAGGGACCTGTCACAGAAAATAAAATCATATGAATTACACAGCGGTTTGTGAGTTTCATGGGCAACTTCTTACCCATGCAGCGGTGCCGAGAACGTGGTATTGACCGATATCAACGCTCAGGGGGTCGTTATAGTGCAGTACGCCAGTACGGCCGTGAAAGTCGTCCAAAAAAGGTCCTAAAATTGAAGACTCGATTCCCATAAGCGCAAAGAACGGAAACCACGGCTTTGGCCTCGCTTTTGTGTCACCCGGTCTTGTTCTTTGAGCCTCACGACTTGTCTTTGAACCATGTAGACAGCCTGCCTTGGCCCAACGCCCACTCAAAGTCGGTCCTGACGATCGCCGGGCTGGACTGAGATGGGAGTAGGACGACAAAGAGATGCATGGTGCCATTTGGTAGTCAGTCGATGGTCCACACTTGTGCAAAATAGGCGAGGCAGGATGTGCTCTGTAGGAGGTAGG